GTGTGTGTGTGTGTGTGTGTGTGTGTGTGTGTGTGTGTGTGTGTGTGTGTGTGTGTGTGTGTGTATGTATGTGTGTGTGTGTGTGTGTGTGTGTGTGTGTGTGTGTGTGTGTGTGTGGAGGGGATCCTGTACACTGTCAGAATTAACTCTATATAAACATATTTATTTACATTTTATCACCTAACTCTTTGTCGCATATTGTGTCCGAGAGTGATTCCATGCTCTCCATGCATTCATCTATCCATCCATATATCTATCTATCTATCAAGCCACTACCTATAAACATATTTATATATCCATCTATCCATCTATCTATCTATCAAGCCTCCCAACATATCTATCTATCCATGTATCACCCATCCACCTAGCCTCCTACCTATCAATATATCTATCTATCCACCTATCTATCTATACATTCCCCCACGTGTGTCTGGCTGCTGGCTCTGTCTCAGGTAAAAAAACGCATAATGACGACACAAAGAAGATTCACCTTTTTGCTCGTCAGGTGAAGCTAATGTGAAATGGTTTTATGTTTTTTGTTATTCGGTTTACAGTTTGTTTTATTTATCTTCCTCTGTCTATCTATCTGTCTGTCTGTCTGTCTGTCTGTCTGTCTGTCTGTCTGTCTGTCTGTCTGTCTGTCTGCGTCTGTCTATCTGTCTGTCTGTGTCTGTCTCTTATCACAGTTCATCACTAGTCCCCACAGGTCATCACAAGTCACCACAAGTCATCACGAGTCACCACAAGCCATGAAAAGTAATCACAGGTCATCACAAGTATTAACGAGCCATCACAGGTCATTACAGGTCACCACAAGTCATAACGAGTCAGAACAGGTCATCACAAGTCATAACGAGTCATCACAGGTCATCACAGGCCACCACAAGTCATCACGAGTCACCACAAGCCATGAAAAGTCATCACAGGTCATCACAAGTATTAACGAGTCATCACAGGTCATTACAGGTCACCACAAGTCATAACGAGTCAGAACAGGTCATCACAAGTCATAACGAGTCAGAACAGGTCATCACGAGTTACCACAAGTCATCACGAGTCACCGCAAGTCATCACGAGTCACCACAAGCCATGAAAAGTCATCACAGGTCATCACAAGTCATAACGAGTCATCACAGGTCATCACAGGCCACTACAAGTCATAACGAGTCATCACAGGTCATCACAGATCACAACAAGTCATCACAGGTCATCACAGGTCACCGCAGGTCATCACAGGTCACCACTACAGGGAGTCATCGTAAGTCGTGTGGGCGGGCTTGTCACATTGCCTCCAAACTTTCATATTTTAGGTAAAACTTCCCGATGAGATAATGACGTCATCTATTTATCTTCTCCTCTTGTAGTTAATTTGAGTTTTATGAAGTCATTTTCCTCAAGACACACCACTATCCTCACCGTGTATTTGTTGATTATTTAATAAACTGTGTTATGATTTTTTAGCGCCAAAGGTTATATCAAATTAAAGTAGTTTATTTTTTCACGTGGGAGTAGACGTAAAGGTGAGCTTACAGAGTACATATTTAAAACCTCAACTCTCTCTTCTCTCTCTCTCTTTTCCGTCATCATTTTCTTTGAGAGTGAAAGAGAAAAAGAGAGAGAGAGAGAGAGAGAGAGAGAGAGAGAGAGAGAGAGAGAGAGAGAGAGAGAGAGAGAGAGAGAGAGAGAGAGAGATGGTATATATGTCGCACTGTTAACATAAGGTGCAATTGTTGTTGTGTTGTTTTGTGTTGCGTTGCGTTGCTTATGACTTCAAAATTGTTTACCCTAAAAAGTACCTCTGGTGTTGGTTCAGATACAGTCCTCCTGCAGCAGTATGTACCAATAACTAAACTCCTCTCCAAAACTCACGTCATAAAATACCCCAAGACATTTATCGTTATCCAGACTTCCCTGAACAGTCGAGAAATAAAATATAAATATATCTCTCACTTCTAAAACACGATGCAATAAACACGTTGGTCTCAGATGCAGCCAAGAGGGATAATTGTTTTTTATGTACTTCCTGTATAAATATTACTTCTTTATATGTGTCCAATGAGAGAAAATATTACGTGGAATCAACAGGTCGTGAGCTATAGCCCAAAAAACACTCATTACTGTTTACTAAGGTATAAATATTTACCTTGAAGATGTGTATAAGATTTTGACTTTTATGTTTATTATTCCTCGCTACAATATAATGGGAGGTTAGTCTTTTCTGTTTGTCTGTCTGTTATTTAAGGTTTAAACTGTTCATATCTTATCATTAAGTGGAATTTGCTAACTTTCAGTTTGCTGGTATAGTTCAATTTATATTCCAGTGTACCCCCAAAGTTGCTTCATTTGCTTACATACACACACACACGCGTGCACATATGCATACACACATATGTGCACACTTACATGCTGTAGGTACACATACACCAACAAATTCATATACATATACACACACACACACACACACACACACACACACACACACACACACACACACACACACACACACCTTATTCAACATCAGAATTTATGTAGCAAGAAGGAATTTCTTGCCGACTTCCACAATTTCTCTACTCGTGAATCTAATATTACTTGCTGGGCTGCAAATTAAACTCTTGGGAATTCATCCTAATTTCGTTTTTCTTTGGGATGTTTACCAACGGGAGAGCCTTGAGGACGACAATAGTACACTGGTGGCGGTCGGGGTGAGGTGACAGCTAGAAGGTGAAGTTCTTGTTCCAACAGGACCCTTTTTTTTTTACGTAAGAAAACAAAGATGAATAAAGGAAAGGTAGAAAAAGGAAAATTACGTAATTACTATTAATTTTATTTCAGCTTGGTGTGTGTAACAGAGAGGGAGAGAGGGAGAGAGAAAAAGAGACAGAGAACGAGAGAAAGACAGAAAGATAGACAAACAGAGAGAGAGAGACTGAGAGAGAGGGAGAGAGAGAGAGCCAGCCAGCCAGCCAGCCAGCCAGCCAGCCAGCCAGCCAGCCAGCTGAGGTTTAACCCAGCAGCATGTGGATGTTCGTGTCAAAACTTGGAAGATTACAAAACGCCGAGACCCTCTCTTCATTTCACCAGCTGCAGCATCCCGGCCTGTTAGTACCTCCCCCACGTACACCACACACTCTGCGCTACTCGGTCGAGGTTTGGTGGGGTGCCCCTTGAATACGATGACTTAACTCCTCAAGGGGTTGTCATCGTACTCAGAAGATGTTAAGTCATCGTACTCAGGGGTCTAAGTTATCTTACTCAAGGGGTTAAGTCATCTTACTCAAGGGGTTAATTCATCGTAAGCAAGGGGGTTGTCCTCGTACTCAAGGGGTTAAGTCATCGTACTCAGGTTTGAGAAGAAGCTGAAGAGAGTTGAATTGAACTCTTGTTGCTGGGGAGTTTAACAGGTAGTGGTACATCAGGTGTTGTGTGGCACCTAACTACAACTGTTCCTCCCTTCACTGTGTTGTTGTGGTTCAGTGCCCCGCCAGGTGAGGTCTCCAGTGGTCGCGTTACACCTATCATTCTCAGGAAGTCTACGTATAGCCTTTAGCTGGTGTGTGTATGTGTGTGTATGTGTGTGTGTGTGTGTGTGTGTGTGTGTGTGTGTGTGTGCGCACGTGTGTGTGTGTGTGTCATCTACAGCATACACTAATTACTAATCCATTAATTCTGAAATGAAAACGAATGAAATTATCTCAAGGGTTATTAATTAACACTAATTACCCGAGAATTGAATCATTGAAACCCAGATCCTTAATTACCACATTTCAGAGAGTAACTTGGTGAGGGTTTGTGTTGATGGCGGCGTGAAGGAGGGAGGGAGAATGTCAGGTGAGTGTCTCCTTCTCTCTCTCTCACACACCTGACAGTTCCTAATGATGCCAGTTAGTCTGTTTTATCTCATCGTTAGTCACTCTAATAATATTTGACGCAGATACGATGTGACGACTTCTTAGTCAAATGGAAGATTTACTTTTTAGGTTTTTTTTTCGGACATGTCAGCACCCATGTCAATTATTACTTGTTCACTTTGTATATTATTCTGACTAAAAAAAAATATTCCAATATCAACTTTCGTTTCAGTGATTTTAATGAACCACTTTACAATATTTCTATCTAGTAAGAACACCGAGATTCTCAACACACACATACACACACACACACAGACACACACACACACACACACACACACATACACACACACACACACATCCTGAGAACATTCTGACCTCATCATTAATAATGTACACGTGTCTGAACTCAGGTACAGTCAAGTGGACACAACCTGAACTAAGAGACCAAGAGATCACATCCCTAGTGACTCAACCCGGAAACAGGCTTGACACATCCAGGAATTGAAAGCGTGAAAGCGACAACATATGATGATGTAACTGTGTGTGTGTGTGTGTGTGTGTGTGTGTGTGTGTGTGTGTGTGTGTTTTCTTATCGCTGATGGTAACTTGATCAAGAAGTCCCTGGTATCCGAGACTTAACAGGGATAAAATTACTCTTCCTTTTCCACCAACTTAACAACACCGTGGTGGTGACGGCGGGGGGCGGAAGCTACATTATCGACGACGTCTTCAGGTAAAGCAGGCGCCGAATACTAAACCTCACTCCCGTCCCTTACACGAAGTTCCTAGCTGGAGTAAATAATGTCTTTGTAAACATCCACATCCTAGCGTCTCTGTTTATGCAATAGCGTTTTTGTCTTTATTTATTTATTTACCTTATTTCACTGGGTACTTCTACTGGTTGGTCATAAGGTAAATAAGGTAGGTAAATAAGATAAATAAATCTGGTAAATAAGGTAGGTAAAAAGGTAAATAAGGTATATAAAGTTGGTGAAATAAGGTAGGTAAATAAGGTAAATAAAGTAGGTAAATAAGGTAGGTAAATAAAGTAAATAAATCTGGTAAATAAGGAAAATAAGTGTGGCGGGATCTACTCTCTCGCTGAAGGCCTCTCACTGGTCATCGAGAAGCTCCCGTGACGTTATGACGCTACGTGTGAGGGATGTGTGAGAGGCGTGGGGACCGTGGGAGAGACGTGGGGAACGTGTGAGGGACCGGGAGAGCGGGAACGAGAGGCGGGGGATGTGAGAGGCACCTGTGTGAGAGGTGAACGTGAGAGGCGTGGGGACGTGGAGGCGTGGGGAACGTGGGAGAGGCGTGGGGGACGTGTGAGAGGCGTGGGGACTGGGAGAGGCGTGGGGGACGTGTGAGGCGTGGGGCCGGGAGAGGCGTGGGGACGTGTGGAGAGGCGTGGGGACTGTGGGAGGAGGGTGGGACGTGTGAGAGGCGTGGGGACGAGGGGACGGAGAGGCGTGGGGACGGGAGAGGCGTGGGGACGTGTGGAGGCGGGACGTGGGAGAGGCGTGGGGAACGTGAGAGGCGTGGGGATCGGTGAGAGGCGTGGAATGTGAGAGGTGAGGGACCGGGAGAGGCGTGGGAATGTGAGAGGCGTGGGGACCGTGGAAGAGGCGGGAACTGTGAGAGGCGTGGGGACCGTGTGAGAGGCGTGAGGGACGTGGAGAGGGTGGGGACCGTGGGAGAGCGTGGGGGACGGTGAGAGTGGGACCGGGAGAGGCGTGGGGACGGTGAGAGGCGTGGGACCGGGAGAGGCGTGGGGGACGTGAGAGGCGTGGGGACCGTGGGAGAGGCTGGGGAACGTGAGAGGGACTGGGGAGAGGCGGGGGACGTGTGAGAGGCGTGAGACCGTGGGAGAGGCGTGGGGAACGTGAGAGGCGTGGGGACTGTGGAAGAGGCGTGGGGACGTGTGAGAGGCGTGGGGACGTGAGAGGTGTGAGGGGGTGGACCGTGGAGAGGCGTGGGGACCGTGGGAGAGGCGTGGGGAACGGGAGGCGTGGGGACGTGTGGGAGAGGCGTGGGAACGAGAGGCGTGGGACCGTGGAAAGTGGGGAACGTGTGAGAGGCGGGGACCGTGGGAGAGGTGGGAATGGGAGAGGTGGGACCGTGAGAGGCGGGATCAGGAGGTGGGGACCTGGGGAGAGGCGGGACGTGTGAGAGGCGTGGGGAACGTGTGAGGGGCGTGGGGACCTGAGAGGTGGGGACCGAGAGGCGTGGGAAACGTGGAGAGGCGGGACCGTGTGGAGCGTGGGGAACGGTGAGAGTGGGGACCGGGGAGGCGGGAACGAGAGGCGGGACTGTGGAAGTGGGAACGTGGAGAGGCGTGGGGACCGTGTGGGAGAGGTGGGGACGTGGAGAGGTGGGGGACCGTGGAGAGGCGAGGGACGTGGAGAGGCGTGGGGACGTGTGTGGGAGAGGTGGGGAACGAGAGGCGGGGACCGTGTGGAGGGGGGACTGGGAGAGGCGTGGGGAACGTGGAGAGGCGTGGGGGACGTGAGAGGCGTGGGAAACGTGAGAGGCGGGGAAACGTGTGAGAGGCGGGGACCGTGTGAGAGGCGGGGGACTGTGAGAGAGGTGGGGACCGTGGGGAGAGGCGGGGACCGTGGAGAGGCGTGGGGGAACGTGAGGTGGGACCGTGAGAGGCGTGGGGGACGTGTGAGAGGCGGGGAACGTGGGAGAGGCGTGGGACCGTGGGAGAGGCGGGAACGTGTGAGGCGGGGACCGTGGAGGGTGTGGGACGGAGGTGGGGAACGTGAGAGGCGGGGACCGTGGGAGAGGCGTGGGAAACGTGAGAGGCGTGGGGACCGAGGAGAGGCGTGGGGAACGTGAGAGGCGTGGGGACCGTTGGAGAGGCGTGGGGAACGTGGAGAGGCGTGGGGACCGTGTGAGAGGCGTGGGGAACGGAGAGGGTGGGGGACCAGAGAGCGGCGGGGGAACGAGAGGCGTGGGGACCGTGGAGAGGTGGGGACCGTGGAGAGGAGTGGGGACTGTGAGAGGTGGGGGACGTGTGAGAGGCGCGGGGACCGTGGGGAGAGGCGTGGGGAACGGGAGAGGCGTGGGAAACGTGAGAGGCGTGAAACGTGAGAGGTGGGGAAGCGTGGTGTTGGTGTGATAGGTGGAGAGGAACAATATACATTATTTTTAGAATTACTGAGACAATATAACTGGCTTTTTACTTTATTATTACGTGAATATATCTCAACAAATCTCTCTAATTTGTTTACCCACCCGAATCATATTACCTCTCTCTCTCTCTCTCTCTCTCTCTCTCTTTGTAGGTATACGTGGTAATGTGTGTGAGAGTACAATGTTGGTGTTTTTAAAATTATATTTGTTGACGGAATATTTTCACGGTGTAGAAAAAGAAAGATGAAATTTTTGAATGTACAGTATATAATTATTTACTGAAATTTTATATAATGTGTGTGTATGTGTGTGTGTGTGTGTGTGTGTGTGTGTGTGACATATATAGAACAATACACACACAAAAAACACACACAGAAAACACACACACAAACACACAACAAGAGAATCCTCGTAAAAAAAAACCCCACCCTCACTCCCAAAAGAGTTATTATTAACATCTCTATAACAATACGTCCCCCACCAGCCCATATAACACAGTGTACAGGTATTAACGACTCCCATTCACCTCTCTAATGTACTATACTTTTTTCATCAAGCTCTCAGTACCTTCCATCACCAGGGAATATGTGGCCAAAAGTTGTGTACCGCAGTCAGGGACTGTAATCCTGTCACCATGGTCTCTGATATGTATGTGTGTGTGTGTGTGTGTGTGTGTGTGTGTGTGTGTGTGTGTGTGTGTGTGTCTGTGTGTTGAGAGAATAACTAACATTCACTGTTCAAGAGTTTTACATCATCACCTTCATCATAACACACCTGACCTCACCTGTCCCCTAATCACCAAACTACTTTTAATGTTTCCACAAAAAAAATTTCACCTGAGTTTCACCTTGAATCCTAATGATGGTAGGGTTTTATTTTGATACCAGGTTCTCATTTTTAACCACAAATATCAAAGTTTTTAGAAGAAAAGTCTTGAATAATGTTGTAAGGTGTGAGATGTTTTGAGATATTATTTTTTAAGAATTAGTTTAGTGTAATATCATGTGTTTTGATATTCTAAGCTAAAAATTACTAATTATTTATATTATCGTGAGCAAGTAGGTAAAGAAATAATGATTTACTAGTGAAAGAAAAGAGGAGATAGAAATGTGGAATGGCTGTTTTATGTCTGACACTGAGCCATCATGAAAAGGTATGATTTTTTGTTTCACTCTCATACTGATTAATATTTACCTGAGCCATCAACGGAGTCTATGACTATTTTATGGCTCTCATTGAGCCATCAACTGTATGTATAATGTTTTTCACTCATTTATTCACTGACGGTAAAAAGAAAAAGTGTATAATTCGTTCACAATCATGCAACATAACCTCACCTACCTAACCATCCTAACCCTTACCCAAAGTAACGTTAGGGTGATAAATCATCAGGTGAAATACATTAGAATGCCTATATAATCTTCAAACCATTCAGATATTTACTAAATTAAAATACTCCGTGAAAAAAAAAATTCATATTACTCCCATTCACTAATTTCACCCAACAACTCAGACTTGCCTTTGTAAACAGAATCGCAGCTTCATACATCAAATGGGAGAATACATTACCCACTACTGAAGTTATTTTGAAATAAACAGCGAAAAAATAAATTATTTAAAGTGAAAGAAATGTGGAAATAATGTTACCAGCGAGATTATTATTTATGTTGGTGTGACAGAAACACAAAGAAAAAGTTGTGTGGTGCGAAACACACACACACACACACACACACACACACACACACACACACACACACACACACACACACACACACAGAGTGAGTACAGTAAATATTTTTAATTGTGTTGTTTTTGTTGTGGAGGACGTGGGAGAGGTGTGGGAGGGGGGGAGGGCGTGGGAGAGGCGAAGGAAATATGTAAGATGCGTGAGATGTGTGAGGGAGGTGAGGTGTGTGGGATGAGTGGGAGGCTTGTGAGAGGCGCGAGGGAGGCGTGAGGGCGTGGGAGAGGTGGGAGGGTGTGGGGGCGTGTGAGAGGCGTGGGGTCGTGGACAACAGTAGGACGGCAAGGAAGAGTATTTTGTAAATTTTAAGTTAATCTTAAGTTAGACATCAAAGGTTCTGTACAAATAACATTAATTTACACTGCAAGGAAGATTTTAGGAGGCAGGTGTGTGTGTGTGTGTGTGTGTGTGTGTGTGTGTGTGATTTTGTATAGGTCAGATGTATAAAAATTGTTGATTTTCCTTAACATATTTGGAAAGGTTTAATATATGTACCTGTGTATATGTTAATTAATGGTTAAGGTTATTTGAGTGTGTTAAATTTATTTCTTCGTTTGTTAATCTAAACTTAATTTTCTTCCTCGTCACATTAACTGCAAGTGACACACACACACACACACACACACACACACACAACACACACACACACACACACACACACACACACACACCACACACACACACTCACACACACACACACACCACACACACACACACACACACACACCACACACACACGCACACAGTTCCCAGGCTGGTCAGGGTAAGAGTTATGGTCCAATTATCCTTTTTTAATTAATTATATTCAGTGGTGACTGAGAACCTTATGTGTAGGACTGTATGTGTGTATTAATTTGTATACAGTATGTGTATGATTATATCTATCTATGTATGTATTTGTATGTATATGTGTATTATTGTGAATATATATATATATATATATATATATATATATATATATATATATATATATATAATATATGTGAAACAATGAGCACCTTAGCTAGCTTAGTTGCCTCTGAAGATGTCTTTGAATAAAGACAGCTTAAAGGTGCTCCATTGTTTCTTTCCTAATTTTACACGAGATTTTATCTATCCACGTTTTCATTGGATCTACATGAAATATATATATATATATATATATATATATATATATATATATATATATATATATAGCTACCTCTCCTCACATAAAGTTTAATTATTTGTAGGGGGTCTAACACCTTTACGATACATGATACATTACGTCATCTGTCCTAGTCATGACGTTATGGTCATTTACTGTACCGGTTATTAAAGTTCTCTCTCTCCCCTCCCTCCACCCCTCTATCCCTTTCACCCTTTCCCTCTACCTTTCTTTTACTTTCCTCCACCCTTCCATTCCTTTTCTGTTCTTCCTCCATTCACTTCCTCCACCCCTCCTTCTACCCATCCCTTTCTCCTCCCTCCTCCATTCCCTCTCTTCCTCCACTTCCTTTATATCAACGTTTACATTCGACAATTTCAAGTTTCTTCACTCTCGTGCGCTTGTGTGGCGATCCATCTGTGTTCAATCAACTATTAAAACCACAGTAGTTTAGTAGTTCTTCCTGTTGGTCACTAAATACTTTTTATGTCAGGTTATCTGAGGTCAGCCATATTGTTGTGTGGCTCAAGGTCAATGGTATGTCATCTAGGGTCAAGGTCAGTGGTGTTGGGTCATCTAAGGTCAAGTTCAGTGGGCCATCTAGGGTCAAGGTCAGTGGTGTTGGGTCATCTAGGGTCAAGGTCGTATCTGAGACAGGTGCTGGAAATAACACTGGTAGGCCCCTAACCTACCTGGAGATGTTTACCTCACTGTCTCTCACTATCGGGCCATGGTCTCTGACATAGTATTTACCTTTAGTCTTGCACCCTCGGTGTAATTGCTTCACTGTGTCAACAACCGACCGCCACGGACCGTCACACCTGGTCACTCACCTAATTTAAACCAACTGAGGTCTATCTAACATAATCAGAATTTATTACTCCGTCAAACCTGTAAAAAAAAAAGAAATTGTCCCATAAGCCCGTGGACGGTGAGGGCAGTGCAGATACACGACCGCCTTCATTTCTGCAGCTCAATGGAAGCTCCTCCACACCCTACCCGAGAGCGAAACCAATGACTCTTAGGGTAAAAAGCGAGTGTTGTATCCAGTCTGCTGTCAATGTAACCAATTAACTTCACGAGTGTTATGACGTTTAATAACCTGTTACTAACGTCAAACACATTACTTGAGCATTATCAACATGGTGGAGCAAGAATATATATATATATATATATATATATATATATATATATATATATATATATATATATAATGTACTGTAGTGTGTGTGGTGCTGGGAGATACACTCGCATGAGGTCGGTTAAATCTTTATTGTACAGAGATTAACGACCCTGGCCGCTGAAGTAGTGTTTACTGTACATAAACAAATTAACGATGATAATATGATGGTCGCTATGACTAGGCTCTCATCCGAGGTCATTTATGATTTTTGACCCCTTAATTTACTCAATCGATTATGAGCCAAAGTTCGTAAACAGATATTTGGGGGACACGTGATTAAACATTTAATTTTGTACACAAACTGCTTGTCCACCATTTTCAGGAGACAGAAAGAGTTTGATGTGTGGGTGTACTGAGACAAAGAATAAACATCAACATCAACACCCTTACATCAGAAAGTAATCACATTCATATGACCGTTTTCCACACTTTCATAATATGGATTGACAAGGCAGTATAACAACAGCCAGAATTAAGGCTTCACGTGTTCAACTTATCAATATACCAATTACTTTATTAAATCATTTATCTGACATTAACCAACACGCAACATATAAGTCAATTACCAATGCCAATTCCATAAATAGATAAGTAATTAAATTTTTTCATAAGCGTTTGGTGGTGCGTGTTGATGATAGGGAAATTGGTGGGGGAAAACTGCATGGCGGGGAATATTGATGTGTGAGGGAGGTGGTCTTCATCACCCAGTGCTTCCTTTACACTGGAGATGGACTAGGGGTGATGGTGGTGAAGGGGGATGATGTATGAATGTTTGTATTACAACTTTGTCCTCACTTGTGGAAGACTTCACACATCAATAAGTGTTGTTAATACAATCATTCACACGAGCTCTGTGAAAATATATTAGGCAGTTGTGTATACATTTTTTGAGACACCCTGTACACCTAGGTGACTGTCAACAATAAGTACTGAACATTCACTATCACAAATACAATGCACTAAACCTTATCGTTAGTATCAAAAGTAATAAATTAAAATATGAAAGGCGGTCGAGAATCTTTACAACTGATTATATAATATAAAAACTCATAGCAACTTATATTTAATTTTCAATCAAATTCTCTCTAACTTCAATAAATATACTGCAGTTGTCTTTCAAACTCACAATAGTAGACTTATCGAAGCAACTGACTGTTCCCAGGCCCACACTCGCACGGTATCACACGAGGAGGTACTTTACCATACACACCTGCCAAGTCTCGCTGAATTTCCTTCATTGTGGACTTTTCATTTTTTTTATGAATTTTATACTAATCTGATACTCAGGTTTCATTTAAGTCTGTAATAACTTAATCTCCATACATTAACCTCTTCATTAGAGGACGCCACTTTTAATATTTCATTTGGTTAACGCCAGACGATTTCATTCAGCTTAAGAGGGAACCCATGGTAAGGAACTCTCTTATACTGGAACTGTAGAATTATAATACGTGAAACATACTAAAACAACTATTAACTTTGTTGTTTTGAAAAGGTGTCACCTAAAGATCATCCCCATTTTATTTCATCTTAAGATTAACCTAACCTAACTTAGGGCCAATTTAACTAAACCTAACGTAACGTAACCTAACCTAACATATAGTTACCCAACCGAACCTAACGCCAACCTAACTTAACCAAGCAACCAACTCCAACCTAATGTCAACCTAAAACCAACCTAACCTAACCTAATCTCCCCAGGTATAACGTTAGGGCTTTTAATCATCAGGTGAAGTAAGCTTGATGAATAAAGCACACACACACACACACACACACACACACACACACACACTGAGGGACTCTACAGGTCGCCGGCCCCTAAAAGAACGCGTTTTATCTTTACAATTGATGATAACAGGATGTGGTTCAATTATGCTCACTTATGTGCTTCTTGTACTGGAAGGTAGAGACAGAGAGACAGACAGACAGACAGACAGACAGACAGATAGATAGATAGATAGATAGATAGATAGATAGATAGAATAGCGTCTGTGTTGTGTGTTAGAGACACAAGCATCATGCGGTGACAGATAGAAAGGGTGGAGAGCCGAGCGTCGTCGTCAGTCGGTGTGTGGGTCATGGTGCTGTGTGTGTGTGAACAGACAGAGAGAGAGAGAGGTTACAGGGAGGTGAAGTGGTGTTGCCTCTTGCCTACGTAGTGAAATATACCGTAATCTCTCCTTCCATATCGCTTTAAAACCTGTGTGACATCAAACTTGGTTAATTAAATTGTTAAATGTATGTTGGAAATATATTAATAAATACTGTTTAGATTTTTTTTTTAGATTTTTATTTATTTATTTATTAATATTTTTTTATTCCGTGTAAAGTTTTAGAGACACTGGTGAAGAGTATTCATTCCGGGTCACAGGATGTTTGTTTTGACGGTAATGTGAACTGTATTAATGTGTTGGTTTATTAAAATGATTTCAGTGTTATTGTTTATATGTGTGTTAAAGTCTATGGATATTATCGTTGTATACAAGAGATCAGAGATTACAAATATATACAATATAGATATACTGTATATGTCTACGGACACACACACACACACACACACACACACACACCACACTGATTTTCCCTCACTTATAGATCTATGGATGTGGAGGTCAGGATACAGCACTCGCCTTTTAACCTAGAGTCACTGGTTCGCAATCTGGGCACCCGTAGTCCACCCAGTTGCGTCGAGCCGAAAAAACGTCGTAGTCTGCAGTATATGCTGTATCCACACTGCCCCTCACGGGATGGGACAAGCAGGGAACCCAGATTTACTTTCACAAACACAGGAAAACATTAACATTAAACACACATCCACAGGAACTCATCAAGGAACCTAAGCACGAAACCTTGACAACTGACCTCTGGCAATGATGAAAATAATAATTTAAAACTATGATATGACATAAATAAAAAAGTTAAATAAAAGTCAAAATAAAAAATAAATAAATAAATAAAATACTACTTTAAAAATCAGACGTGGCTAAAAATTTTCTCCGCTGCCAGAGATCACTAATCAGGAAGCTAAACAGACAGATATTTACATATATATTAGTTTGCATTCAGTGACGACATGTGGAAGTGCATTAGTTAAAAAAAATATCTTATCTCGAAATTGAAAGATGAGATAGTAAATTTGGGTTTACCTTTGAGATAATTTCCCATTAATGTTCCTTTGTCTCATCCATTAAGAGGCGTCCCACAGGTAGAGGTGAAACGAGATATAAAAATCATTTAAGGTGTGAATACCTTCCATGTATTGTGTCTCAGAAAAATATATACACAATATATGGAAATCTATTAGGCCTGCACCCTCTTCTTACACTTCTATTGTCTTTATTTTTTCATTTGTTTTTCGTTTCGATCACACTAAAATCAATACAGTAAAACCTCCATATAACGGACTTTTCATTCCATATAATCCATGAGATGGGGATTTCACATCTAACGGACCTAGATATAACGGACTTTCACATTTATATAGTTCGTTAGATGAAGATTTCACAGCTAACGAACCCTCTATAAAACGGACTTTCCTCTCCATATAGTCCGTTAAATAGAGGTTCATCTTGTACACAAGAAGTTGTTTCGTTTGTGTTTATATGCACTTTACATCTTTTACGTATAATTGTCCCATTAAAACAGCAATAACTTGTATAGGTAATGTTATAACACCAGCGAATGCAGTTCATATATGGTAAAAGTGGACTAGAATAAAATTTTAAAATGCTCTTCGCTAAAGTAACATAACCTAACTTTATCTAGTGTAGGTTAGATTAGGTTTATTAGGTTAGTTAGATGAGGTTAGGTGAGGTTAGTTCGGTCAAGTATCTTTAAATCTCACCTAATAAATAATATAAAGGATTAAAGGTGTATGTTCTTATCTCTTATTATACTTCATAAACCTATTCCAAGGCTCTATTAAAGATTTGAATCCTGTGTTTATACTTTTTAAGACGATTTAATTCTTTATAATACCCATTTCTCTTTGTGCCTTTGTTTATATCACTTTATCCATGTATAATTAACTCCAACACGTAGTCAACAGTTTTATGTATTTATAGAGAACATCGTATCGTTGTTTGAGTTTTTTAGGAAGATTCTGAATTTATATTTTTATTGTTTTGATCGTGAGAGATGATGACAGCAGGTGTTTGTATGTATTTTAATTACAGGCCCCTTCACTAGTGCGTTTACAGGGGCTCGTCATATAAACATTCTACAAATCATTACATTGACATATTTGTTTTAATATTGGTTTATATTGATTCGTTACTATGTTTACTATTGCGAGTTTTCTTCTGTCGAACGTAATCAAACAGGGCTGCCACACTGTACAAAACCTGAGCAGCCCCTGTAAACGCACTAGTGAAGGGGACTGTATTATCGTGTAGATTGACAAAGAATCAGTGTATTTCGTCAGGATCGTGATATAGAGTTAAAAGGAAATATTTGTGTACATATAAGCATTGTCTCTATATGTAAGACCGTGATAAATTGACCAATAGTAAGACGTGTTTATTTCTCTCGTTAATGAAGAATATACCTGTGGGTCAACAAGTGTTAACTATCTTAATACAAAAAAAGAAGAAAATATTTGTATTTCTAATTAATATATAGATATATCCATGGTTGTTGTGACAGAATTTTGAAAATACCTGACGGTGATATTTCTCAGTGGCATGTGATGTTCCCCGGTGCTCAAGTAGCCCTCCAGCCTCCTGACACCATTACTTCCTCCTCCTCATTCTTCTTCTTCTCCTCCTCCTCTTCCTCCCCTCTTCTCGCACCTCTTCCAATCTCCAGGTACTCTGCCATCTTCTTGGGTGTCTTGAGCTTCCTGTTGATGCCTTGTAATATTTTTTTTTTCTCTTGGAGTTTTAGAATGATATTTAACCCTTCTTCTGCCCATCTCTCTGAAGTTGGGGAATGAGGAGTGTGGAGTGAGGTGAGGGGTGTGGGTGAGTGAGGGTAGTGTGAGGTGTGGGTGAGGTGAGGGTGTGGGTGAGGTGAGGGCTTTTTCTCCCTCATTTTTCCCTTTCTTCTTTTCTCTCTTTTTCTCTCACCGTCTTGTACCTTCTCTGTTATTATTTCACCTGTCGACCATCTCACCTGGTAGTTCAGTTTCTTTTCCTTTTCTTTTTGTCTTGTTTTCCTTACTAGTGTCTTTTTCTTCTTCCTAGTACCTCTCCCTTTTCTCATGCCTCTCCTTTTCCCTAAATCTCTCCCTCTTTTCCTCCCTCCTCCTAGTACCTCTCCCTCTTCCTAGTACCTCTCCCTCTTCCCTAGTACCTCTCCCTCTTCCCTATACCTCTCCTCTTCCCTAGTACCTCTCCCTCTTCCTAGTACCTCTCCCCCTTCCCTAATACCTCTCCCTTTTCCCTAGTACCTCTCCCTTTTCCCTAGTACCTCTCCCTCTTCCTAAGTACCTCTCCCTCCCCTCCCTAGTACCTCTCCCTCTTCCCTAGTACCTCTCCCTCTTCCCCTAGTACCTCTCCCTCTTCCCTAGTACCTTCCCTCTTCCCTAGTACCTCTCCCTCTTCCCTAGTACCTCTCCCTCTTCCCTAGTACCTCTCCTTTTTCCTAGTACCTCTCCCTTTTCCCTAAATGCCTCTCCCTCTTTCCCTATTACCTCTCCCTCTTCCCTAGTACCTCTCCCTCTTCCCTAGTACCTCTCCCTCTTCCCTAGTACCTCTCCCTCTTCCCTAATTACCTCTCCCTCTTCCCTAGTACCTCTCCCTTTTCCCTAGTACCTCTCCCCTCTTCCCTAGTACCTCCTCTTCCTAGTACCTCTCCCTTTTCCCTAGTACCTCTCCCCTCTTCCCTAGTACCTCTCCCTCTTCCTAGTACCTCTCCCTCTTCCTAGTACTCTCCCTCTTCCCTAGTACCTCTCCCTCTTCCCTAGTACCTCTCCCTCTTCCCTATTACCTCTTCTTTTCCTAGTACCTCTCCCTTTTCCCTCATGCCTCTCCCTCTTCCCTAATACCTCTCCCTCTTCCCTAGTACCTCTCCCTCTTCCCAAGTACCTCCTCCCTCTTCCCTAGTACCCTCTCCCTTCTTCCTAGTACCTCTCCCTTTCCCTAGCTACCTCTCCTCTTCCTAGTACCTCTCCCCTCTTCCCTAGTACCTCTCTCCTTTTCCCCTCATACCTCTCCCTTTTCCCTAGTACCTCCCTCTTCCCTAGTACCTCTCCCTCTTCCCTAAGTACCTCCCCCCTCTTCCCTAGTACCTCTCCCTCTTCCCTAGTACCTCTCCCTCTTCCTAGTACCTCTCCCTCTTCCCTAGTACCTCTCCCTCTTCCCTAGTACCTCTCCCTCTTCCCTAGTACCTCTCCCTCTTCCCTAGTACCTCTCCTCTTCCCTAGTACCTCTCCCTCTTCCCTAGTACCTCTCCCTCTTCCCTAATACCTCCCCTCTTCCCTAGTCCTCTCCCTCTTCCCTAGTACCTCTCCCTCTTCCCTGTACCTCTCCTTTTTTCTTCCTAGTACCTCTCCCCTTTTCCCTCGTACCTCTCCCTCTTCCTAATACCTCTCCCTTTTCCCTAGTACCTCTCCCTCTTCCCAAGTACTCTCCTCTTCCTAGTACCTCTCCCTTTTCCTAGTACCTCTCCCTTTCCCTAGTACCTCTCCCTCTTCCCTAAGTACCTCTCCCTCTTCCTAGTACCTCTCCCTTTTCCCCTCGTACCTCTCCCTTTTCCTAGTACCTCTCCCCTTTTCCCTAATACCTCTCCTCTTCCCTAGTACCTCTCCCTCTTCCCTAGTACCTCTCTCCCTCTTCCTAGTACCTCTTCTTTTCCTAGTACCTCTCCCTTTTCCCTAGTACCTCTCCCTCTTCCTAATACCTCTCCCTTTTCCTAGTACCTCTCCCCTCTTCCCAAGTACCTCCCCTCTTCCCTAGTACCTCTCCCTTTTTCCCTAATACTCTCCCTCTTCCTAATTGCCTCCTCTTCCTAGTAACTCTCCCTTTTCCCTATAGTACCTCTCCTTTTCCCCTAGTACCTCTCCTTTTCCCTAGTACCTCCTCCTTTTCCCTAGTACCTCTCCCTCTTCCTAGTACCTCTCCCTCTTCCTAGTACCTCTCCCTCTTCCCTAATGCCTCTCCTCTTCCCTAGTACCTCTCCCTCTTCCCTAGTACCTCTCCCTCTTCCCTAGTACCTCTCCCTTTTCCCTAGTACCTCTCCCTCTCCCTAGTACCTCTCCCTCTTCCCTCACCTCTCCCTTTTCCCTCATTACCTCTCCC